TAATAAATCCCATTAATTGTTTCTACAGAGTCTCGTCTTTCTAATCTAGCTGTGCGATAGCAGGTTCTTCCTTGAACTTGAATTCCTGTGACTTTGCAATGCATTCAGCCAGAGAAGCCAACCTCTTTTAAACATAAATGACTAATAATAAAATAAAATAAAAACTTCAGCAATTTAAAGCCTGCCAGAAAGACCTTAAGAAGCTAAGAAACGCCAAGAACAGATAGCTTGCCTGTTTAATTTTCTCTCAGTACTGTTTAATTTTTTATAAAGACTTTTCCATTACAAGTGTAACTCCTGTAGTCTCCCTTCCCTAAAATGAATGGCTTCTTCACCCTCCTCAGATTAGAAGCCAAGTCTCTTCTGATAACTGGAAGCCCACCTTAGTTAGCAATCCTCTTAACCCTCCTGAGCAAAAACAAAAACTATCATTTTTTTCAAATAGAAGTGCATAAACCTAATAGACGGGTTGCTCCAGAGAGACAGTTTCCCTGCCGCCCCTGCAGGTCTATGTTTTCATCTGATCTGTTTTTGCCACGGACTCTCGCAAGTACAGTCGGAAAAAGCCAGTAAAAACGGCACGAGATCCTCTATGTTCAAGACTTGTTTGCAGCTACTACTACTAATGAATCTATCAATTAATGTGCGTGAACTGAGTAGAGCCAGGGGGTTAAATTAGTTACATAATTAGCCTGATTGGCCTGGCGCTTGGGCACCAGCAAAGCTCACGGGAGATGCACTGTCACCTGCCCTTATGTTCCCTCTGCCCTCCAGTGACTTAAGAAAGCTCAGAGCCAGGTGCCGAGACTCCCCTCCTGGCTGCATGGTGTGTGGCTGGAGGGATGGAAAGAAGACCGCCGTTAGAAAGAATGCACAGGAGCTCAGCCAGTGTGGTTCAGTGGTTGCGCATCTACCCCTGAACCAGGGAGGTCGTGGTTCGATTCCTGGTCAGGGCACAGGCCTGGGTTGCAGGCTCAACCCCCCAGTAGGGGGCATTGCAGGAGGCAGCTGATTGAAATTCTCTCTCCTCATTGATGTTTCTATCTCTCTCCCTCTCCCTTCCTCTCTGAAATCAATAGAAATACATTTTTTTTAAAAAAAAAGCATTCTGTCACCAACAATTGCAAAACAAAGAAACTCACACCACTTCCTAATCCCCGAGCCAAATGCCCTCACTGTGCATGTGAATACCGGGGTGCTCACCAGCTCGGTTGTGTAATAAACTCCGTCCGTCCGGGAGTGGAACTGAACGGAGAAATTCAGCGCTGAGCTCCTCAATCTCCGCACCTTGCCTCTGAGATGGACAACTTGTGTGTAGATAAGACACTGGCTTGGTTATTTCCAATGTTGATGGCGGAGAATTTGAATTTCCGATAGAATGCATGATTCTCTTAGGGCCTCTCTTTTGTCATTTTAAAGTAAGTTTATGTTCTTTACTTTCTGGTTGGTAATCTGTTGGTTGAAAAGTATAAAGCATCGCTATGGTTTATGGATGTGCCGTCACAACCAAATATTCCTTTGGATAAAAAAAAAAAAAAAAAAAGGAAAACCTCAGAAAGTTCTGGAAAGTTTGTGCTATGATACTTACTAGAATGGATGGAGAGACCGCTGGCAAAGGTTCTTTTCTCCTTCGCATGCTTTACAGAAGTGGCGTACCTTGCCCAAGAGCAATGTCCATGATGGCCTTTTCCCACCTTAATTATTCAAGATAATTGCTCATACTTTAGAATTCCCGCGGTGAAAACAAATGAATCTGTACTTCCTAGATTAAGATCATCAAATGTTAATGCTGGAAAGGCTCTTAGGAATCGTCCAAACCAGGAATTTTCACACTATTTTTGGCAGCTATGCCCGGCTATCTGGCTATTTTATTCAAATCCTACATAAGCTGAATAAATATAGGGTGTCCCCCCCAAAAAAAAAAAAATGTGTCTACACTTTGAATAAGTATAAAGGCAGTGCTTATCAAAACATTTCATTTTAAAAACTGAGCTTATCAGCTGTGAAGGCGTGTATGCATCTTTGGCGTGGGGGGGGGGGGGGGGAGAAGCCCTGAAGTTTGGAATAACTTCCGTGTGGTGGCTTTGCATTCACAAAGACGGCTCTGCAATTAGATCCTAAGCAAGGAATGCAGACTTAAACACCACCCCACCCCCGATTGTGGAAATTGTCATTTTATGCTCCTATTTAGAGCACTCTTAAATATTTCATGACTTCTGTAATATTAAGAACTTCTAAATAGTTCATTTAGTTCTACTGAACACAGAAGGTTCAAAGGGACTGCACCAGACTTCGCTGTGACTGGCGGTGTTTTGGAAGGTCATGGACTCCGCACACCCTTCAGGTCCCAGTGCAGGTTTCACAGTTGTTCAGACAATGCTAACACGGCCATGCTCGTGGCGCAGGGAGGTTCGGGTAACTGGTGGTTCCCTGGCAAACTTCCAGGCTCCGATTCAGACTGGGCAAGCACCAATCCCAGCTCTGCTGATGACCCCCCCCCCCATGACCTTGGAGCAGGTTCCTTCCTATCTCCAAGTCTCAGTGTCCTCATCTATAAAATGGGCAGAATAACATCCCCTGGTCTACAAGGTCACTACCATGTTCAAAGGCCGTAGCACCGGTGAGCTGCCAAGCAATGGCTAGAGCAAGTCTGCTGTTACTATTACACGCGTGTGACTGACACCTGAATGCTTGCTCCTACAAGTTACAACGGAAGCAATCCTTTTGCACAAACACCTAGTTTCTCCATTGCACGGGAGGTTTCCGTTGTCTCGTTTGGATCCTCATTTTAACGCGAGTGTTGACACTCTGCAACCCCTTGGACTCATCACTAACCCGAAACAGGAGTCTCCTCTTAGAGTGGCCTTCCTCACACTCCAGGTCCCTTCTCAGCGCCCAGGAGGTGACGTGTTGCATTGGGATCATTTAGACTAACTCCGTTGTAGAGAAGGTCGTGGCTCTTTACAATGATTCTTACAGAGAGACAACCAGAAGTACAGACGAGGCTGCAGGCTGCACTTTGATGAAGCGGGAAATGCAAAGTGAACACCAAACCTCTTCACCTCCCCACGTTCCTCATTCCAGGCAGCGCCTGACCCCTGACCCCTGCCCGGCTGTGGTCAAACACTTGGCAGGTGGACAGCGATATGAACGCTGCCAGGTGTCACGGTCGCTGCTGGCGCTGCTGTTGAAGGTGTTCTAACATTATAATTGGGGTGGCCCTTGCTCTTTCATCCGAAAGCTAAATTCGAGTGACAGGCCTTAATGTTCTGACAGTTTTTGAGATTTGTGTCCAATGCCAGAAGCCCAGCCGCATCTACAAATACATCTGGATGTATTAATCCCATCCTGTTCCTAAGCTTAAACCTTTAATCATATCAGCGAAACCACTGCTAAGCTGTTTCCATCTCCGGTCTGTACATAATCTCTTTGCATTGTTTTCTCCTTTCATTCAAAAGGTATATTCTTTGAGATTCTATCTGACTGTAATAATATGTAATTCTGAACACAGCTTTCTATCCCAACTGGATATTCAGGTATAAATCCTAGGAGGCGGCAGTGAGGGAGGATGAAAAAGATAAATCCAATGCCCCAGAAACAGGCGAGACAATAGGAGACTTCTATGAACTACCCAAAAGGGGCGTTTGCGAAAGGAGCCCCAAAAGATGGGCGTGTCGGAGAACCCCTTGAAAAGAAACAGAACGGTGTGCTGGTTGATGGTGTGTGAGGAGCTGGGGGCTGGCCCAGAAGAACTAGGAGATGACCGCTGGGAAGCCCAGAGAGAGATGCCAGTCCCCGGCAGCTCTGGGAGAGAGGAGCCTGCCTGGTGTGTCCCTTAAAGAAGTGGCTGCCCACGTCTGGAGGCAAACAGAGCAGCCAGTAACTCTGGGCACGTTGCAAGACAGTGCTCTGCTGGCCTCCATTCACGTGCTGTTCCAGCCCCATCTGAGAGGCCCACCCAGCCCCTCTCCAGATCCACAGAGACCCTTCCTTTCTAGACTGCATCCATCCTCCTCTTCCCTTGCCAAAAAGAAACCCTCCCGGCCTGCTGAGTCCCGGGAAGTCGAGAAGGGATGCTGGGAATGTCAGCTCCCAGTGTGGGCGTGAGCCAGCGCTCACTGAAGGCAGCCATAGAGCTGTTTTCACAGGAAACACACAATCAGAGGCAACCTGGACGGTTGATGGTTTTCCTACATCCATGTGACTGGCCTTTAAGAACAGTTACCTGGTCCAGTCCATGATGCTCCGAGGTTGAGCTTCGACCTATGAGCCAGGAGGTCATGGTTTGATTCCTGGTCAGGGCACATGCCCAGGTTGTGGGCTCAATACCCTGTGGGGGGGGTGCAGGAGGCAGCCGGTCCATGGTTCTCTCTCAGCATTGATGTTTCTCTTTCTCTCTCCTTTGCCCTTCTCCTTTTTCTAAAAAAAATCAATAAAAACATATTTTAAAAAATAATAATGGGCCCTTAATGCAAGGGCAGCTCCTTGGGATAAAGCTTTGCTTCAGAATATCGCACATGAGTAAATCTGAAAAAAAAAAAAAAAATATATATATATATATATATATATATATATATATATATATATATATATATATTACATTACTAATCGCCACTATGTTTGAGAAAGGCAAGCTGTAGGATCCTACGGAGAAAGACTGGTCGTGTGTGTGTGTGTGTGTGTGTGTGTGTGCAAGTGGTTATTGGATTCTCCTAAAGCAGCGTTCGTCTGTCCACAGAGCACTGGGGAGGGGGCAGGCCGCTGAGTATCCATCATGGAGCCTAGAGGGAGAGAACTCTCTAGAGGGAGAGTACTGCTAAGGAAGCTGTAACTGAAGGAGGCTGTGCCATCCATGCAGCCTGTCTCCTAGCTTCCTTTTTAACTGGAAAGAGTAAAACCAGACTTTCACTGCCAGAAAGAGGATTTGCTTCAAATGTTACCAACTGGCCTTCTCCCCACTCTAACGGGTCTGTGTGTGGTGTGCTTCCTCGTTTCCCCAGACGCAGGTCAGCCCCAAGGAGGGGTGGCAGGTGTACAGCTCCGCGCAGGACCCCGATGGCCGATGCATCTGCACGGTGGTGGCTCCGGAGCAGAACCTGTGCTCCCGGGATGCCAAGAGCAGGCAGCTGCGCCAGCTGCTGGAAAAGGTAGGAGTCCCTGGTCTCGGGCACGTGTGTGCTGAAATCCACTGCTCTTTGAAAAGGAAGTGGGGGGCATGGGGATCAGGGTCCTCCCTGTGTTTGCTCCTTCCCGGAAGGAGTCCCTCCCGCTTCCTGCTCTGTTCTACTGCTGTGGCTTTTCACTGCTTCCAACCCCATCTCCTTAGACTGGCTCTCTGTCATCTATCGTAATATTCGGTTGGTGTCTCCTTAAGATATGGGGGAGCAGGGGGAGAGAGTAGGGAGTCTTATTCCGCTGCCAGAAATGGAGCCTTGACTCTCAGAATCACACCAGGCTCCTTGGGCTTCCATTAGGAATCCTGCAAGCAAGCCAACTAATGGCATGCGCTGCGCAAGCTCTCTGACGGATAACGAACAACTGCACGTATTTGCCATCACTCTCTGAGGCATGCCTTTGAGCATCACGCTCTTCAATTTCACTCAATAGCATTCATCCTGTCGTTTACTGAAGCCGGTCCCCAACAATCAACTGCTGAGTGGCCCTGATTCCCTCTGTGACAGACCCCAGTCAGCTCATGAAAGCTTATTGATATGTGGTGAAGCGAGAACGAAACAAAACAGAGCGACAATGGAAGGTTCTTCCCATTCTTCTCGTTCAGACTTTGTCTGAGCGGGGTCCCTGGTACAGCAGCACAGCTGGGGCGGCCAGGCTGACGGGCGAGGGGGAGGTGGCAGCAGCTACAAGTTTAAATGCCATCGGGGGTGATACGATGCATCAGGTGGCATGAGCTATTGGAGGATATCCCCCTCAATAACTCACGCGGGGCCATGTCCATCCATGCAACTGGACATTCATGGGAGCTTCCCAGGAAGTTAAGAGAAGCTAGAAAAATGAAAGTGTTGAATCTCCAAGTACAGGCAACCCCATGTATGCCATTCCCAGGTCCCCGATGGCACAAAGGACCTGACCTTCACATTTCCCATGGACCACGCACGTCACGTGGTAGGAAAACACTGCTCCCACCGGCAATGTTCATAACAACAACTCCCGTCTGTTCTTCCTGTCCGCCCTGTTCAACCTGCAGAGCAGACGCGGTTGCCTCTCTCGGTTCACCTAAGAAGAAGCTGGTGCTTCCTGAGGCAAAACCACCAAGCGATGTCACTCACCGGCAGATGGTGTGGCGACGCCCCTCCAGTTCTGTGTTTTCTCAATACCCCATGAGTGTCTCGAGACGCCCCTGGTGGGCCCCACGCCTAACTATGCGCTGCCCTGCCCAGTAGCCCAGCAAGCTGGATAGCATTGTATCAGTGAATACCAGGAGAACTGCAAGTGGCTTCCCAAGTTCCGGGTGTTAGCATGCCCAACCTAACGCTGTTCCCTTAGCAAAGCTTGCCAGCGTGCAGTTCCCTGCACAGGTCACAGCGCCCGCACTGTGCAGCTCGCTCATTCCCCAGTGTGGTTTGGAAACAGGAGACCAGTGACGTCCTCAGGACGAAATGGTCCTGCGAGACACAGTACACGACTCTTTGCTCTGAAGATTCCACCTCGCAGTTCACAGGAAGCCTCACAGTGAAGACACCTGTTTCTCTGTGTTTGCCCAGCGCCTTCTAAACATACAAAATGGTTGGATTGTTCCCAGTGTAGCTGCCATATCAATGAAGGAGAGTGAAACCCGAGTTAATTTGCACTGATGTCTGAAAGCCCTCAGACATGTGACTCACAGGAAGAACCAGGATGGAGAGTTCCAACATGTTACCAGCGAAGGGGGACCCTGAGCTTGCCAAGCCCTGCGGAGAGGCTGTGGGCACTGGGACACCAGTGGAGAGATGGACAGCAGGACGGCAGATGGCTCTTCTCCCTGCATGTGGAATCCCGGGGACCCCGTCTCTCTGTGGGTCCTGTAACCAGTGGGAAGCTAACCAGTCCCTGGGGACCGCCAGCGGGAGAGGCGGAAGGCAGCCGAGCCAGGGCCTGTCCCCTCGGACAGCTCTATCACTAGCTCTGTCATTGGACACGATTCTGCAACACAGAGGCCGGACAGGGACTCGGCACACATTCTCTCGGTGCATTTCCCGAAGCACAAGGAAAGCTGCACTGGAGCTTGAGGGGGAGAGTCAGAGGCAAAGTAACAGGAGGCTGTGTCCACTCCATCCACACCCCACGCCCGCCCATCGCTTTCTCCTGGGCACGGCCTCCCGGGAGAGGCTGGCCACCCAGTGATGGGCGGGCCTTCATGCAAACGCCGTATTCACCTGTGCACTTTCCTTAATATAAATGGCGCTTCTTTATTCAGGCTTAACCGCAGTGAAGCTCAGAAGCGTTTTGAGAGCATTACCTTTACCCAAGATGCAGCCACGATGCTCGAGATGTTGCCACGGGAATTCCACGCTGCCCTGAGGCTGGGTTGTAAGTGAGGCTTTCTGATGCGGGAGTGACTGTAAATCAATAAACACGTGGGCGTCCTGTGTTCTTTCCTTCTCAAGTTAAAGGAAGTCACGCACTCACCCGCACTCACCCCCACGGGAAGCCCGAGAGAACTCACCCCGCAGACACAGACTGGCTTTTCCGACTTGCTTTTCTCCAGGAAATCCCTCCACGTTAAGCGTCGCTTCTCAAAATTTCACAGACAAAGGGATCACGTGGGGATCTTGATAAAATGCAGATTCACATTTTTGGACAAGAGTCTGGGTTCTGGACCAGCTTCCAGGAGGATGCCGGCCCCAGAGACAATACTTTGGGTACCAATGGCACTGCCCTGTCCTCTCACCTAGCGCTTCCTTCTCCCCTCCTCGAGCCAGTCAGCAGCTCCCCTTCCCTGTCCCTCGTTCTGGTTCCAGAATGTTGCTGCCACAACAGTGAGGAGGGTCATCTGTGCCCTCCTCTAACAGCCTGGGGCACAGGGAACCCGTGTTGTGTGCCCACCTGCCCAACACCAGTGACCGCTGCCTTCTCCCAGGTCTGCCAGAGCAGGCTCCGCGGGTGAGGAGGGCCCAGCAAGGGTCTGGGATCCGCCACCGTGCACCTGGGTCCGTCCACTTCACCTCTGGGTCCATCCACCCCTCCTCTGAGGGTTTGTCCAGTGCCTCGAGGTGACTGTACCACAGAGAGTGCATTGAATGTCTGTTAGGCACTCCTGACACCCACCATGGCTAAGCACCCCAGATCTCGGGGTCAGAGGTCAGCGTTAGTACTTACAGAAACAGCTCATTTTAACCTTCGACAAAACAGGGCACTGGAATAAAAAAATCTATTTCATGAAACGTATTTTTCTGACATGTGAAGGCCTCACTGATATCCAGTCATTTCTAATGTTCAGACACCCGTTTCATGATTCCCTGCCTCGGTCTACCTGTCTCTCACTGAATTCTTTGTTTATCAGGGAGAACTGTCCTTCTAGAAACGTGTTGTGTGGGAACGCAAAATAGGACCTGGGACTCAAGTTCTCCATGTAGATGCCATTCTGGCTGTCTCGCGGGTGACTGCGTGGACCTGTGCACAGACACTAATTGACGGCCAGTGTTCTCATCATACAGGTCCAGAACATGTCCCAATCCATTGAAGTCTTAAACCTGAGGACTCAGAGGGATTTCCAGTACGTTCTTAAGATGGAAACCCAGATGAAGGGGCTCAAGGCCAAGTTCCGGCAGATTGAGGATGACCGGAAGACACTCATGACCAAGCACTTCCAGGTAGGTTTGGCTCCCTCGAGCTTGTCTAGCCCCGGGCGACGCCGAGTGGGCCTGGCAACCATTGTGGCTCAGATAGAAACAGCTGCGCTGGCCCCTCCACGCCCGGCATCTCCCCACTGGCCCTGCCATTAGCTGTCGGGGCACACAGGAGGCTGGCTAGAACAAAGCTAATCCTGCAAGAGCGCGGGGAGTGTCTGCATAGACCTACAGGCACTTCAGTGCCGATGACAAGGGGAAACCGGAAGGAAAAGTAATAATTCAATGTAGCCAAGTTTTCCCCCTGATGAAGTTTTTTATGCCCTACTACGAGAAATATTCAATGAGGCAGTACTATCATTACCAATAGCCATAGAAAGAGGATTGCTTTATGATTTGACCCAAAGACCTTTTTTTTACTTTCAGTGGTTTATGGGCAATTATTTAGAAACACTGGAAATGGAGACGAGGTGCTTGTGAGCTTTTATTAACTCTGAGTGACAGGGCCATCGGTTAAAATAAACTCTGACTGGGATGATGCCGTCTGCACCGCTATGGAAAAGGAACGCAAAGACACGGCACGTCGCTTATGAAACACGCTGTGGTTTTATAAAAGGTCACAGCCCAGCTTCCCTGCCAGCCAGGAAGCGAGAGGCGCGCTGGTGGTGAGGGAGCAGGTCTGACCTCCACGTGTCGGTGTGAGGGCCAGGCAGCTGGCCCTTTTCTCTGCTTCGCACGGGTCCCCAGGAGCCCGGGCAGAGGAAACCGTCTGGCACTGAACCGCATTTAAAATTTCACCTAAAAGGCGGGCAGAAAGGCTGAGGGTATTGGCAGGAGAATGGGCTAAAGGGATGACACACGAGATTTCGCTTGAAGAAGGATGTACACAAGGCCAGGGGGGAGGGGGGGAGGGGCAGGGTTAAGGAACTAGAACAAATTAGAGCAAAAGTCTAGAAGTTACTGGGAACTTAAAAGATTGTTGGGAATAAGAGAGAGTGAACTGGAGAATAGAGACGGTGTGGGGGGATGGCATACAGAGAAAGATAGAGGCTGGAGAGCAAATGAATTCATCTTAACCAACTCTTACTGAGCAGGTCCTGCGAACAGGACGGGGCTGGCCCTCTGGGGGGTGCGGTACGTAATCTCTGTTCTGGGCCCAGGAGCCGGACCTGGTTTCCCTGACACGAGGCCCACGCTCTCCCCGCAGGACCTGAAGGAGAAGATGGACGAGCTCCTGCCGCTGATCCCCGTGCTGGAGCAGTACAAGACGGACGCGCGGCTCATCACCCAGTTCAAGGAGGAGATCCGGAACCTGTCGGCCGTGCTCACGGGGATCCAGGAGGAGCTGGGCGCCTACGACTACGAGGAGCTGCACCTCCGGGTGCTCAGCCTGGAGACCCGGCTCCGCGACTGCATGAAGAAGCTCAGTGAGTAGGGCGTGACGCCCACATTGTGTGTGTATGTGGGTTCCATGCGATGGTGGGAATGGTCAGAAGTGCCTCATATCAGGGAAACCAGGGCCGGCTCTTCAAGGGCAAGGTCAGTGCTCCTCGATGGCTTCCACGCCCCCGGGAATGAGTGGCACCGAACTGGCAGTTGCCCGCTTCCCCAATAGCCTGTTACGTTGGAAATAAGCAGTCTGGCGATAGAGCCAATTCCCCTGTGGTTGGCAAACTGCGGCTCGAGAGCTGCATGCGGCTCTTTGGCCCCTTGAGTGTGGCTCTTCCACAAAATACCACGTGCGGGCGCACACGTACAGTGCGATTGAAACTTCCTGGCCCGTGCACAGAAGTCGGTTTTTGGCCTGAGCGAGTCTATGCTGAAGAAGTGGTGTTAGAAGAAGTTTAAGAAAAAGTTTGGCTCTCAAAAGACATTTCAGTCGTTGTCACTGCTGATAGTTGGCTCTGTGGACTAATGAGTTTGCCGACCACTGAGCTACACCACTGGAGATGCATCTTATTACAGACAAGCAGTGCGTGAGGGGTGGCACCGCAGGGAGTGAGAAAGGTAAAGGCTGCAGGAAAGGAGGGGGCCCTGGGCCAAAACGGGAAGCCGCGGTGCTGAGACCAAACCCAAACAACTGCCCCTTGGGCAGGGCTGCCCACGACGGCTCCGACCCACTGACGGAATCAAAGGAGGCTCCTTCCCAAACTGGCTCCTATGCACCGTGAGAAAGCGCCACGCATGTGTGTGGATCCCGGACTGCAGTCCCTGACTCAGCCTGGACCCGTGAGCTGTGATCCAGCTGAACATCTGGAGATGAGTCCAACCCAGCTTGGCGTGAGTCCATGGCAGGGAACCGACTGGAGAGGCTGGGAGCATGTTCCGGAACGGCATGTTAGTAGTTGGCATGACGGGGGTAGGGAGGCAACTCAACCACAGCACAGTGCTGTCTCAAGGTCTGGAGGAAGCCGTACACTGGGAAGAGGAGTAAAGAAGTTGAGGAAAATAATTTCTTGGTCAGGAAAATCTCCAAGGATACATGTAACACTTGATCGGTAGCATGTGCTGAGCCAGGCGTGTGCTGAGCCCAGGTGTGTGCTGGCCTCCTTGCTTTTCCCTCCTGGACTGTTCATGACACACCAACTCCACCAAAGCCAGGCCAGGTCACGGGAGGGTCGTACCCGGTGAATACCATAAGCCCGACCGGAAGTGGGCCTGTGGAACTCCTGTGGGAATAACGTGGGAAAACTCTTGGGATCTGCCTCCTTTTTAGAAATGAACTTCACCTCTAACATTTGCAGGGTGGAGCGAAAGGAGGTGGACAGTGGTGAGTGTGTGAAGTTTAAGATAATTAAAAAACAAATGAGCCTCCTCGCCTGCTGGGTCTCAGCGACTCCCACATACTAAATAAAGTGTTCGCTTACTTCTCCTAGAGAATTCAAGTTTGGGCGAAAGATAGAAATTAGAAAAATGCTCCCACGGCAGTGCACCCTCTGGCCTGAACGAGAAAAGGCGTGCTCTCCTAAACGCACGGTTTTCTATCCCGGAGCCCAGACAAGAGAGGTCCCCTGTGCTTAATTAAATCGGGCTGTATTCCCAGACATGCACACTGTAATGACACGCATGTGAGGATTTAACTGAAAAGCACGGTGAAAGCCTTCGCAACCCCCGAGACCACCGACAGACATTTAATGTCGCTGATAACCAGGCTCCAGCCCTCTCCCCGCCTCTAAGCACTTCTAGCCCAGGACGATGGTGCGGTGACATCTAGTAAGTCCTCTGTACCTCCTCCCATTAACACGGCCTTTGGAGTATCATTAACGTTCAAAACTCCAGATCCCAAGTAATGACACTTGGGTTGTTGTTTTTGCCATGTTAGTGCCAAAATCGTTTCAAAAGGGAAAACAAAATGTCCAGGTGGTAATAGTCATGTTTGCACAGTCAACCGATATTGAATGAGCCCTGGTGTGTGTGGGCACTTGGCCAGGCACTGGGAGACAAGGCTAAGCAGCAGACAGATCCCCATCCCCCGCCAGGGAGGTGGCATTCTGTGGGGACACAAGCACATAGCAGATAAGTGCAGTCGTGTTGACAGCCGGCTGCGAGATGGGCACCATGCCAGCCTCTCTCTTCCATGTGGTGGTTCCAATCGCCGCGAGAACTCTGGGTGAGGCCTTATTATGCAATTGATTGCACACAGATTGTTCAGCTTAAACTCATTTGCGATTTATTGGAAAACAGAAGGGTTTGGACACATGTTATTCTTGGTCCCGCTTGCCGCACACCCACTGAAAACTCATTCTAGTGCCCGTTCCTTTATGGCAACTGTTATATTCACCCTTTCACCACCTTCCCCCGGCACTGCAGCTGCTGAGTTAGACATGAAAATAAAAGGTTAAATAATAGAAACAAATGTGTGGTAGAGGTAAATATATTATAAGTAGCTTCAAAAGATGGATGCTGAAGATCAAATCATATCTACTTCTTGCTATGCGTTCTCCAATGGCCGTTAAGTAAAAAGAAATGAAGATTGTGAAGAAATGTTCACCATTCCATTTAATTTACTCATATGGAAATGGCCTTGGGGTTCAAAGTCAGAAGCCACTAGTCTGGGCCATCACAAGGTGCAATATTAAAGAAACAAAAGAGAAGAGACATGTCTCCATGCTTTGTGGATCCAAACAACTGATCTTGCTGAATTCCAAATGCCACCTTTTCCTGAGCATGGGCTATCGCGATATTACCAAGTCCGATGTCTAGAAGGCATCAGAGAAATAAAATGGCCACATCCTTCAACTGCCTCGTCAGTGTATTTTCTGAATAGATAGCATTTTACAATATATTGTGTGTGCATGGTTCTAACATTGTCCCATGTCTCACTGCCAATGAGAGCAGAGCGGGAGAAAAGCCAGTGGAGCAAAACCCTTCACTTCGCTCTTTGCCATCCATTTCTGCAGAACATTTGTCTTCCCGGCGCCCGGGAAAAACCACCCTTTCCGTCTGGCTCCCTGTGTCCTCGCGGAAAGAGAGCGAAGTGAGAAAGGTATTTGTGTCTTGGAACAAAAGCCAGTGAGGGGGAGCCAAGAAACAGAAATGACTTCCACTGTTGACTTCATGTTTACAATCTCTACGTTTCATCCGCAGCTGAAAAGACCAGTGTTTACTTACCACAGAGATCCACAAAATCATAACTACAAAAACAGCCAGTTTTTAGAAATTCCTGAAACTCATTAGTAAAACTAAATTTTAAACAATTTTAAAAAGTTACGCTACATAAACCTATTTTTATATAAACCATAAATGAACCCACAGGAGATGGTAATTTAATCTATTTAGTAACCATGCGTAGCCATGCCTCTATCTATATAAACCTATTTTGTCAACTCAACACTGAGCATGGTCCTGATTCAGCATAGCTTCTCAGGAAATGGTTGTTCGGTGAATATATTACTTTACATTTAAATAGAAACTGCTGGTTTCTTCGCTGACCTATTTCAGAGGAAATGCCCCTTGCCATTGTCAGTTTAGGCACCAGAAGGATTATACCGCTGGTATAATTCCTGTCTCCATTCCTGGTTTGAACAGCCTGAGGCTCAGCAGCACCCCTCTACCATATGTTCACATCATTGGATTCTACCCAAACACCACCGAAGCCGGGACACCCACGCCACCCACGTGCTGTCGCTTTTGGAAATGGTTGATTCTATGAGATTCGTGGCACAGATAACTGCCCAAGGGAATTCTGGGGCAGATTTTTAACTAACCCATCCAACTCAACTCCTGTTGATGTTACATCTACATAAACGGGATCCAGAGATCAGTTAAACCCAGGAAACCAATCAACACCTGAAATATATGCACACGTCGAGGGGAAATAAGAGCTTTATGTCTCCTTGCTAGTTTTTGAGTTGATCATGTTGTGTGGCCTGAGGATGGTGTTGTAAATATCCAAACAGCCCTTGGCAGAAAAAAGGCTCCCCACCTCTGATTTAGAGTATTGAGTTCAAACTATAGCTACAGGTATGACACCCGACACGAATGATCATTCATTCAGAATACGTGATGTCAACCCCGTGATTCAGTAGCCCTTGTTTTGCTCTTGTGAGTCTGTGTGTTGGAATCATTGCCCTGTGGTCACCTTGTGTGTTTACGTTTCTCTAATTTCAGCATGTGGCAAGTTGATGAAAATCACAGGCCCAATTACTGTCAAAACGTCTGGAACCCGATTCGGTGCCTGGATGACTGATCCTCTAGCATCCGAGAGAAACAACAGAGTATGTGGTCTCCACCAATGTCTTTGCTTAGAATTATGTTTTATTTATACCTTTTTGTCTACTGGACCATTCATTTTCTTTAGCGATAGAGTTTCACCTTGGAAACGATAACATCATTGTAAATATTTTCAGTTTGATAATATTAAGACAGATACAGAGATAAAAGGCAAATTTATTTTAGTAAAATGTTTTATCCTGTAATCCTCCAATAGGGTGAATCTAATTTTTATTTGCTTCAGTCTTGTTTTGCATTTCACAGGGCAAAAATTATAAGAATACAAAATGCTCTTTATATTTCTACTAAAACTTGCTCCTTAATGTGAAAACACACACAAACGCACACACATACAAAAAACTAATAATAACAATAAGGGAAAAACTTGAGCTTACCAATTCACAAAACAAGCTAAAATATTCATGGAGTCTAGAGCTAATTTTAAGGGAAATAGCACTGAAACTTTGGGATGGGGAAGTATTTTCATAAATCAGCAATACCTGTATTATGTAAATCAATATACCGCAAACTTACTATAGCTCTGGGCATTTGCTATTGTAGAATTTACTATACATTAAGTTCACAGGGTTACATCCAAATAAGATTTGTAGCTAGATTAGTGAAATGGTTGTGTTAAGAGGTAGGTATACCTAGAAGCAGGTTCAACGAACAAGGGTTAGTTAACTGGAAGGTTCTGTGCATCCATAAAGGAGAAATACGTTCAGTGGTGTCAAGTTAGACCGCACATTTTTTTTTCAGAGCGAGCTGCAGAACAAATAAATTTGCTGAAGGCGGTGTTTTTGCAGTTATTGATCGCACGGATCGATCAGGTGACTAAACAAAGTGATGTGATTTGTACTGACACGTGTTTGGCTCACTCAGTCACGGGCACTGAACGGTCTAAAAAAGAAAGGACAAAAAGCCAATCAACTTCAAGGCAGCAAATTTAGCTATTTCCTTTCCACCAATCCATGCCACTCTCTTTTTGCAAAAGCCCGCCGTGCCAACCGCCCTAAGATAATGTGTCCTCCGGGATCCTCAGCATCCTGATACGGATGTGTGTTGATTCTCACTGTCTTTGTTTTGGAATTCTCAGCAAAGTCCAGAACATAGGTGCTCCATTCATTTATTTTTTTTCCTCTCATCCTCCCAGGTCTGGTACATGGACAGTTACACTAACAACAAAATAGTCCGTGAGTACAAGTCCATGGCCGACTTTGTCAGCGGGGCTGAATCAAGGACCTACAACCTCCCTTTCAAGTGGGCGGGCACCAACCACGTGGTCTACAACGGCTCTCTCTACTTCAACAAGTACCAGAGCAACATCGTCATCAAGTACAGCTTCGACCTGGGCCGTGTGCTGGCCCAGCGCAGCCTGGAGTACGCCGGCTTCCAGAACGTCTACCCCTACACCTGGGGCGGCTTCTCCGACATCGACCTGATGGCCGACGAAATCGGGCTGTGGGCCGTGTATGCCACCAACCAGAACGCGGGCAACATCGTCATCAGCCAGCTGAACCCAGACACCCTGGAGGTGGTGAAGAGCTGGAACACGGGCTACCCCAAGAGGAGCGCCGGCGAGTCCTTCATGATCTGCGGGACCCTGTACGTCACCAACTCCCACCTGACCGGAGCCAAGGTGTACTATTCCTACTCCACCAAGACCTCCAGCTACGAGTACACGGACATTCCCTTCCACAACCAGTACTTCCACATCTCCATGCTGGACTACAACGCCAGGGACAGGGCGCTCTACGCCTGGAACAATGGCCACCAGGTCCTGTTCAACGTCACCCTCTTCCACATCATCAAGACCGAGGACGACACATAAGCAAGTGCAACCTGTTTCCGCCCAGCTACACAGTGCTATCTGTGACCCATTCTCTAGGCCTCCCTCTGTATTGCTTTTCTTCATTAGATTGTCCTCACCCCTTCTCTAAAGCATTTCTATCATAACGTGGGTGTCCGGAGAAAGAGTCGCGGAGCTCGCCTCCATGAGCCCGTTGGACACACATCGGAACTCCTCCATTCACATGGCCTATCATGTCCTTGTCATGGGAAGCACTAAAGAGAGCTTACCTGGCTAATGTCATACTTTTGCAAAAGATTAGTGGTCTGCCTTATCCTAGTGTCAGAGACTAATGGTAGCTTCAATGCATGAATGTCTCTCTCTCTCTCTCTCTCTCTCTTCTAACTCTGCCACTTCTGTCTCTAGCTCCACATCAGAAAACATTCTGGTAGGATCAGAAGGAAAAAAAAGGAAGAAAAGGGGAGAGAAAAAAAAGAAAAAAGCACTTTCTCCCCACTCATTTCTAACACATACGTCAGGATCTGCTTTACGCGGGAAAGAACATGCCGTCCCGCTGTTCCCCAGCCCTCCGACGCGGTGCTGTACAGCCATTTTTAAATCTCTTGCTAACACTTGATTGGCAACCTGTATTTCTACCATTGTGACCACCATTGTGCAATTGTTCTCTCTTCACTTCTGTGACAGTAAGTGATGTTTTTTATAAACTACACTGAAGTTCAACCTCAGTGATCCTCTGGGGCCCATGTCCAAGTGTGGTCCGAAGGAAGTATCCTCCTGGCTTTGCCTGCCCATGGTAGTGTAAGCTCAACAGGAATGCAAACCAGGCCCCTTCCATCCGGTCTTTATTTGACCCCTGACACACACCGGACCACAGACACGCTATGCCACACAGACTCGGCATGGGCAAGTCAGTCTGCTCGTCCTGCTGAACGCAACCCTTAAGTCACACAAATTGAACTTGAATTGACTATACTCCGTTATGATACGACCAAACAAATTATGTTCTTCGTGATTAAATATCTCAGTGTTTTAACTTATATTTCACACACAACTTGCAATAAAGTAATTCCTTGTGCCAGCACTAGAAAAGTACACGAAGCACATATAAAAAATCTTTAAAAGAGTTCTGTAATATCATCTAGATTCCCATGATAAGCTCGGGAGTGGTTATTGGCAGGATTTGTGCAAAAGAGAATGATGGGAAGACTTGGGAGTTGTCTGTGCCGTTTAAATGTGCAAACGACCCATTTGCAAGGCAAACCCTGGTTACCCAGATTCTTTGTGTGCAGAAGCAATGCAACCGAAAAAGACAGCTTGAATCAGATTTGGTGTCACTAACTCCCAAAACATATACTCAGTATACTATTATTGAACACGTCATTGAGTTTGGATGGACTTTCCATATATCAAACATCCTTACCTAACGCCATTTTACTGAAACTAGTATGGGTTGGTTTTAAATTTTTAAAAATATAGAGTATAATAAATAAGCTATAACTTAAATGGTTGTAAATGTTTAGTTTTGCACATAAATTCTACTGTAATTTCCTTCATAAAGTAAGGATATAACCATTCAGACAAGGCATTGTGTAAAGAAATGCTAATGCTTAAGAAATTCATTTCCATTGTCACAGGTAAGCCATCATCCTCAAAAAGCTCACTGTCAAACATGCAGGATAAAATAACCCAATCTTGAAAGTGTCCAAGTTTAGCAAAGCTTTCCCTCCCTCCCTCTCTCTCTCTCTCTCTCTCTCTCTCTCTCTCTTCTCTCTCTCCCTCCCTCCCTCCCCTTTCCCTCCCTCTTTTACTCTTCTCTCCCTCTCCCTCCCCTTTCCCTCCCTCTCTTCCTCTTTCTCTCTATCCCTCTCTCCTATTCTCCCCCCATTTCTTCCCTCTCTCCTTCCCTCACTTCTTCCCCCTTCTTCTCTCCCTCCCTCCCTTTCTGTCTGCCTGCCTCCTGTGGTCCTTTGGTGATATTGTCCTTCTCTTTGAAAACATTTATCTAATTTCTCCTCTGCTTTGGGGTGTTAGAAAGTTTAGGGGATCTGCTTGTCGTTTTACACTCGCTACAAGAATAATCAGCCAATACTTTGAACATCAAGAGTTTGTATGAAGAGAAGAAAGCCAACTGCAGAGACGAATGAACTTTGAAGTCGAGGGCCTCTTCCGAACAGCTGGGTTGTCATTACTAGCTTTCATTTTTTTTGAAAGATGGATATGGTGTCACGTACATGCCCACCCTGGACTGCCGTGAGACACGTGGCTTGTAAAGCCCTTCACCTGCTGTGGGACTTGTCACCTTCTGGCCCCCAATGCACGCACTGCCAGGGGATGCACAGGGGCCTGGACTGTCGCTGGGACCGGGACAGGGACTGTGAGCGTGAAAAAGTGATCTGCATTAAACATTCACAGTTCAGAAGCATTTTTCTTCATAAATTATCAGTTTTGTGCCTGAAATAAATAAGAACTTACTCTAATTACTGTTTTATTTTTAAATCTCAAATAAAATAAATTTTATGAGGGAAATGAGCATTTATAAATCGCTCACATAATCCCATCAGTAAAGAAATCCAAGCTCAGAAGGCCTTTTTTTATTCTTTTGTTTTTCCATCACCAGTTCTGCCTTTTTCCATTTCCCACTCCTCTTCCCACCCCGCAATCACCACACCATTGTCCACATCCATGAGTTCTCGCTCTTTTCTGCTCAGTTCCTCCACCACCTCCCCAATCCAGCCCCCACCAGAGCTGTCTGCCTGTGCTCTGAGTCACTGTCCTTAGATATCCTGGCACAGGGTCTGACACAGAATCATCCCACCGCAAAGGACAATAACCACAGAAACATAGGAGTTGAGTCGTAGAGTCACCACCTTCCCACGTCTAAACAAACTTTGTTCCACTCGGAGGTCATGAGATATTAACTTTTCCCACAGTGTTTAATTGGGGATAGATGTCCATGAGGTCCTAAGGTAACATTCCTAATGCATGGACCGGGGCTGTCGAGCAGATAGAAATGGGCTTCCGTTACTCTCTTGGGTCCATTGTTCCTTGGTGATGTGGTCAATTTCATTGCAGAACAAAGTAGCTCAAAGGGGCTACCGTCCTTACTTGCGTTATTTCTCTCCTTGACACCCATTTTTTAAAGAAAAAAAAAATCTACATTTTTGCCCACCCAACTCTTGGTTCCTTATTTTGCCTTTTTACCCATGTAAGTAAAGACTTCCCTAGATATATACTCTGTCTTTGGTAGATCAGACCTGGGTTTTATCCCAGAGGCATGTGCTAAAGTGGGCCTCTCACCTGTCACCCTCCTCCCTGATCCTGGGTTTGCAAAGGATGCGCCCATGAGCAATGTCAACCTCTTCCCCTAAGTAACACCTTCTAACTAGCATCTTGTACCCTCTAACTAGCACTAATGAGGACCCTATCTTCATACATAGGAGCGCAAGCAACTCTCCCACAAGGCAGGTCTAACTACCAGTCTTAGGGCACATTTCTTGGTTTCTGTAGATGAGAGTGTTGGCCGGATGGGTAGTTACCCAACAGTTCCCCTCTAGCGCTTGAGTGCATTCCAGAGTCCCCTCAGAGTCGCCAGAGGGACAGCGGAACTTAACGGAGATGGGGCAAGGGCCTCCAACTGTCCCTCACCACCTCCCACGAGAGCAACCTCCTCCCTTTTATCTCCTTTCTAGAATGTTTTGGTTATACGCTTTCATAGTCAGAACGCGTTTCTGTTGTTGTAAGTATAAAAACTACTTATCTAGGTGGTTCCCAGGGTTGGGCTCTGACTTCTCCAGAGTTGTGACTTGGGAAGGTCCGTAAAGGACGTGCATGCGTGGGAACTCAGATGCTCGTATCGCTTTGAATGAAGGGGAAGACACTACACAGAAAGGAGAGAGGAAAGTGAGCTTACTAATTGGCTGGAGCTAAGACGAACAGTTCATCTTGTCCTATCGCTCAACCAAACCCTACTGCCTCACTAGGGATATTCCGTTTGCATAACCCTGTTCAAAACCCATGGTTTCTTCCTCTCTACACTCCTGTGTCAGCAGCTAACGAATAATGCTAAACCCCTTTCACATGAACCCCACATTCGGACCAGCGTTTCACTGCATCAGCTCCCACTGAGTGCTTCTCTGGGGGAACCACACAATGTCTAGTGAATCCCCAAAGGAAAGCGGAGTATGTGTTACCGTAGAAACAGGCCTGGACTAGGCTGACATTCCTCCTCAGGCACCATAATCTCCCCAGGGTTTTCTCCAGCTGATTTCAAAGCATCTAGGTCCCCCGAAAACCTAACATTTTAGTTCCACCGAAACAAGGGAGGCCAGCCGAAACTGGTTTGGTTCAGTGAGTAGAGCATCAGCCTGCGAACTGAAAGGTCCTGGGTTCAATTCCGGCCAAGGGTATGTACCTCAGTTGCGGTTGCAACCCCAGTGGGGGGGTGTGCAGGAGGCAGCTGATCGATGTTTCTCTCTCATCGATGTTTCTAGCTCTCTATCCCTCTCTCTTCCTTTCTGTGAAAAATCAATAAAATATATTTTTTTTTAAATCAAGGGAGGCCAGTTGAGGTCAGAATGTGGCATGCTGGGAGGAGTTCATCCTTCATTTGGCAAATATTTACAGTGTGTCTACGAAAAATATTTACAGTGTGTCTACGAAATACCAGGCGGGCCTGTTAATCAACGGGGCTGGCTGCTGCAGACAGAAAGTAGCTCGGACTGACTCGAGGACTGCGGGGAACTCTGCCGTCCCAGCACTTGACGAGCTGTGTTGGCAGGTTGGTAAGAGCGGAGAGTAGGCACTGACCCCTTTCCTTAAATGCTTCTTGATAGAACTCAGCTGCAAGATCCAAGGTCATGTCCTTGAACCTGCTTACTCATGCCGAACAGCCGGTAAGCCCCATCCCTGTGGGGACCAGGCTGCCCTTCTCTTGTTTGTGCCTGGGCTGCCCATGCGAGCGCCTCCCTGGCGGAGAGCGTTTCCCCATAAATAACTGCCGACCGAACGAATGAACGAGGCAACGAATTGTTAAAAACACAGCAACCATCTCAGTCAGAACTCCCGAGGGAATAGCTCAGCCTCTGATGTTATTAAGTCATTCATTCGTCACTGGCCTTTAAATTGCTTTAGTTATTTTTGCGTTTGTCTTCATAATAGGACTAACTAGTTGTTTGTTTAAACACTAGTGATTAATTCTCATCATTTGCAGCAACCTGGATGGAATTGGAGAACATCATGCTGAGTGAAATAAGCCAATCAATGAAAGAGAAACACCACATGACCTCACTCATTTGTGGATAATAAAGAGTATTATAAACTGATGAACCAAAAGATAGATATAGAGACAGTATATCAACAAGTAGACTGTCAAATTACAGCGGGGAGGGGAGGAAGATCTGGGGGAGATAATAGATCAACCGAAGGACTTTTATACATGCATATAAGTACAACCAATGGACATAAACACTAGTGATTAATTTAAGAGAAACTTCAAGTCTTAAATCTGTAGTAACCCAAGCTAAAAACTTGACTCTCTTGCCTGTCGAGAGGGGCCAGTTGAAGCGTGCTCAGTATGACTCCCTATAACTACTCTTACTACTGCCAATACTACTCCTAGCCATGCTAGACTAGCAGCAGATAGGGAAGATGAATTAATAGTGTCTTGTTACCCTTCTGTACTCAGCCTTTCTTTTACTAAGATAACAAAAACACATATTTGGGGGCTTTGGGGTTAAAATTTGTCTCCCTTCCTTTAAGCTAGGGGTGTCAAACTCAATCAGAGAAGGGGCCAAAATCTAAAATCCAGCCTAAATCGCAGGCCGGATGGTTTACTGAACAGTCATAAACTGTCATTGTGATGGAAACGCAGCGGAGTGCAGTGATGACAGCGCGGTGCGGGCCACATTGCAAGGCCTGGTGGGACGGATTTGGCCCGCGGGCCTTGTGTTTGACACATGTGCTTTAAGCACATCTGTGGAGCCATCCCCACACAATGAAGTACCGGGAGGATCTGCTTTCCAATAGAAACTGAAATAGCTTCATTACTCTTCCTTGTCAGAGCTTTCGGGCTCACGTGTTATTGGCGGCTGTATAGCCCTTCTGTTCTCCTCACTAGCAGGCAATTGGAAATCCCCGTTTTTCCCTGAGAGAGAGACGGAGACTCACGGCATCCAGTTAGCATTTCCCCAAAAGCCAGCACCATCTGCTGCTGTAGTAGGGGACCTGCCTTCAGAGGCTGCTTGAAACATCCTGATATGGTGCCTACATCCCACTTCGGCCAGAAAAGGGAGGGACTGCGAGGGCCATACCTCAGATAAGGGGGTCAAAGGGGGCAGAACACCTCTGAGTGAAGAAGGCAGCAGCTCGCAGGGTGCTGTGTGACATCAGCATCGATTCTCATTTAATCTCATGTCCTGGGCCCTGTGCCCATGTCCCCATTGCGTGTGGGGTATGCCCTTGACCTCCTCTCCCCGTGACTTCATCCTGAGCAACCGGCTCACGTGGTCCTACAGCGCATGCACGAAAAATGCTGCTCTAGTGGAAACTTTCTCTCTTCGGGGAGTTGGTATCCTCCTGACTAAACAGCACTGCTTTTCCCAACTTCCTCTTTCCCGCCCCCATCTCCTTCCAAAAAAAGCAAAAATGAATAAATGCTCCAGAAGAAGAGCATGAGAACTGAATCAACCCTACAGAGACACCACGTTTTTTAATCAGATCCCATTGCTTTTATCTCCAGGTATTAGAATGTCCACATATGGAAGAATTCCTGAAATAATTAAAATTTTGCCACAGATCAGATTTCTCTTGTCACTAAATAAAGCGTTAGACGACGACGAGCCAATTTATTATAAAGAGGTTTGGCCGACTGTCCCAGGAACCGCGTGCCACCAGGAAGGCAATTAGTCAATTTTCCAATTAAAATAAATGTGGTTCAGTCATCACATTGCACACAGGAGAAGGAAAAATGACTTCCATCGCTGCACTTTGCATTTCTACAGTAACTTCCATCTGAGAAGCTCAAAGCGCTAATTGAATTAAACTCCGGAGAAGTTAGGCGTGATTGTATCCTGTTGACAAAGGTCTAAAAGGAGTCACAGAAAGATTAACTCACTTGCCTGGGGTGACACAGTGAGCTGGCGGAGGGGGTCAGGATAAATCTGAGACCTGGGGCAGGTGGCTCTCCGCAGCCCGGATCAATGATCTCTCTCACAACCTGCACTTTTCCCAAGTCTCATCACCTCAGCTCTGCCTGGAGCTGGGCCACTGGCACCTTCAGTCCTTCAAAAGCTGGGGAAAGTGAAGCACAGATTATCCAAACGTGCTTCTGGTGCTTATTCTTAGTAGCCTGCCTTATGGATGGCGCTTGCTTGGAGCAAATGCTGGTGGTGTTTTCTTCCCTTTGCCAACATTCATATTCCATATTCTCTCTCTCTCTCTCTCTCTCTCTCTCTCTCTCTCTCTCTCTCTCTCTCTCTCTCTCTCTCTCTCTCCTCTCACAATTAGGTGGCTTAGTCCCAGAAAGCAAGGCTGTTTGCTTTTAATTAAGGACTGCATTTGTGCATCAGAGTTTCAGGGAGAAATTCTGCAGGATCTTCCTGTGATCTCCCCTTAATGAGAGGAATCTGATGGCTGCTCTGTTTGCGTTCGCCACAGCACACGCCGCCCATGGCTTACGAAGTGTACCGAGCAAACAATGTTAAAAAGACCCCAGGAAGTAGTCATCATCCAGGGGATAAATATTTAGACATTTTCAAGGGCGACAAGTCCTTCGTCATGTTAAGTTACTAAACGGAATCGGCCCATCTTTGTCAAAGGTAGTTTTTTTTAACAGTGTTTTCTAACCTTTCAACCAAGGGGCCTATAAGCCCTTTCAAAAAGTAGCATCTTTAGAAATATCTATTTGGAGAAAAGTAACTTCCAGTTTTATCTAGGCACATCATGTATAGATGGTGAGACCAATAAGGCCAAATGGGTAAACTCAGGATATGCTATTTCTTACTGTTAAGGACTGTACTGGTCAGCTCTGGCTGCCATAACGGAATACCAAGGCCTGGGCGAGTTAAAGAACAGGAGCTTATTTTCTCCAATTCTGGAGACGAGAAGTGCCAAGACCAAGGTGCCCGCAGGGTTGGTTGCTGGTGAGGCCTTGCTCCTGGGCTTGCCCATGGCCTTTTCTCTGTGCACACAGGAAGAGAGCAATCTCTTCCTTTTTATGAGATTAGCCCCCAACCTCATGCCCTCATTTAACTGCAAAGACTCTATATCCAAATGGTCTCCTTAGGGGATTAGAGGTTTGGACTTCAACCCACAATTAGGAGGGGGAACAAAATTCAGTCCACAACAAGCAATTCCCATCTTAGTCAATGAAACAGAAGAAAAGACCCACTGCTATGTCCAGGAAAACTCCTCCCCCCCCACCCACCCACCCACCTCTCCAGTTGGACACAGAAATAACCTAAGACAGGAAGAACATAATTTAAATATATATACACTAAAGGCCCGATGCACGAAGATTCGAGCAAGAATAGGCATTCCTTCCTGTGGCTGCTGGCACCACCTTCACTCCTGCCAGAACCACCTTTTGCCTCTCACCTTGTTGTGTCAATTTGCATATTCCCTCCTTATTGGCTGTGGGTGCTGCCATCTTAGTTGAGGAGTTACAGTCAATTTGCATATTCCATCTTTATATATATGTGTGTGTGTGTGTGTGTGTGTGTGTGTGTATATATATACACACATACATACATATATATATATATACACACACATATATAGTATCCCCAAAAATGTATATACACTTCACAGCTGATAACTCAATTGATGTTTCTTTCTTTTCATCTTTCCATTTGAATTCATAATTATTCAAAGTGTGTATACATTTTTGGGATACTCTGTATATATATATGTGTGTGTATATGTGTGCATTTTTCCCCAAAAAAAAGTCTTTACTTCCTTAAAAGAAAGCTAATTCCATGGTTTACTGCTAAACTTTAAATTCACGTCCACTTTTTAAAACATTTATCACCCCACCCACACCCACTGAGCAACACACTCACCACCCAGGGCTCAGAGACCCCTCTGCAGCCTTGGCCTCCTAGCAGGTCCAAAGCTCAGCTCCATGTCAACTGCCCGATGGAAACCATACCACAGAGCAGACCTCCGCTCGTGCTGTAAATCAAGCGAGCTGAAGTTGAGTCCTGGCTCTGACATTCGAAGACACAGCAATCTCAAGAAGTGTGCTAACCTCTTTCCCCTCCGGCTTCAATTTTTAATATTAAACCCAGATTCAGGCATACCCTTGATGAAAAGGTTCCAAGCACTTCAGCATATCTATTTAAGGGGTAGTGGTAAATGATCAGGGTGAATTATGGTTGGCATCAGGATAGATCTTTTCCTCACCAGTAAAAATGGTCATTATTTCAAATAGGATGAGCTGTTTTGGAATCACTTAGCAGGATGGGAAGATGGATGAGCTAACGTGGTAATGAGAATAGGCCTCCTGAATGGTGTGCACAAAACAAGGGTCCTTGGGGAATGCTGAGCAGTTGCTTTTTTCATTGCTAATTCCTCTACCCCCCACCACCACCACCCCCAAAGGTTAAGAGCTTTGATGGATTTGAACAGCCTGCAAAGTGTGGGAACCTTATTTCCTTATTTGGTCATTATTGAGCTGGGCCCTTCTAGAAGCAGCTACAGCCATGTCACCCTGCATAGCCACAGCTACGGAAGACATTCGGCTCAAGTCAGGAAAAGGTCTCCATGAGCAGCGCCCCATTTGGGAAAGGCGCTGACCTATCTGGGCCAAGTCATAACACCCCACCGACACTGCAGCCCTTCGGGAAACCTGGGCCCCCCTGAAACCTGCCTCCGGCCCCCCGGCGCTGATCCATCTGCCTGAAGGGCCAAGTAGGTGACCTTGTTTTTGCCAAAACCCACGCTCACTGCAGGTGGCATTTCGGGAGCTTCCTGGGGAAATTGCTGCTGTCACTATGTTCCTATAAATTGTACCAAATGGCCCATTACCCCTGCTCCCTGCAACAGGAAACTCCAAAGGCGAAGGAGAAACACTCTCCCGACAGGCAAGCTGCCAAGGAGCAGACAGTGACAGGGGAGAGGCAGGCAGGACTGGCGGGGGAGAGGGGGTCCCTGGCTTTTGGAGGGGTCTGAGCCATTGCTTTCTCTGCCTCCCTGTTCTCCTCCCCTTCCTCCTGCCACGTGGGACAGGATGGGACGCAAACCCTTCACTGTGAAGCAGGTCTTCTGTCACAAACACACACTGGCATCTCTCCCAAGTTCACAGAAACCCAGCCTCCTGCCCCGAGCTTTTATAACAAAACCAAAGAGCTAGTCTCCTGGCTAAAAAAAACAGACAGACAAAACCAGCCCCGAACCTCACTGCAGCCGACATCTCGCCTGCTAAGATAATCGGAAGTTGATTGTTTGATTCTGGTTATAAAACTTATTTAAAAACCAGCCTAATTTTTTTTTTCCAAGAACATCTGCTGAGAGTGCAGAAAAGAGCATGATGTATTCACTCACCCAAACCCCCTGTAACAGTGTTTATGCCATGGCTCGCTGGCCAAGCCTTTACCTCCCAGCCATGAATGACAATAGAGAGCCCGCCACACCTCCCATCCTTAGCCCATAAGCAGATGTTCGTTCCTTCACACAATGTGAGCGAGCATTCGTGGGGAAAACAATCCCTTTATTTCATTTGACTCGAACACACACGATGGGTGTGCGTGTTATAACACCAGCATAAAACCGCGCCCCGTGTGTTAGTGAGACATCGGTGCCGTTTATTGTGGTGACGGCTGCAGATGTTTTCATCTTGAAGGATTCTGCAGGAGCGCAGACACTGCCCCGTGTGTCAAAGTCACTGATGTTGAAGCGAGACTGCTCAAGTCCTAATCACAGGCAGGAAATAGATGTGCGTTAGGACGGCTTGAATTGTGCACGTGATTCTATGAACTGGCAGATGGGGGAGGCTGTGCAGGAATTTGTTCCCGTTAAAAACCGAGGGGGTGCCATCCAGCATGGCTCAGTGGCTGAGCATCGACCTATGAACCAGAGGACACGGTTCTATTCCCAATCAGGGCACATGCCTGGGCTGTGGGATCCATCCCCACTTTGGGGCATGCAGGAGGCAGCAGATTGATGATGCTCTGTCATCATTGATGTTTCTATCTCTCCCTCCTTCTCCTTTCCTCTCTGAAATCAATAAAAAATATCTTTTTTTTTTTTAACTGAGGGGCCACAGACAATCCAGTGACTCCCTGCTCATCTGCAGAGCTTACTCATAAAAGCAAAATGCAAATATGTTTGTCTCCTGGATGTCACCCCTGGTCCTCTCCTACTGGACCAGTCCTTGCTAGACGCCCTGCAATGAGGCTTCTCACCTGCCACTAAGAGAAGAGAACATAAATTGTTTCTGTTTGAAAGGATTGCCTTTCCTTTGTCCTGTCTTTTGGTGAAAAGATTCTTTTTAAAAATTAAATGCTGATAAAAATGGCAGCTCTTGGTATTTCTAAATGGCCGTTCTTGGTACATGGGCTGACCTCCCTCTGTGCACAGGTCTAGGCCTGACTCAAGTCTTAAGGGAATTTATTGGCTGAGGGAATTAAAAAAGAAAGTCCATGTTCAGCGATTCAGATCTGGCTGAATCCAGAATTCAACTCATGCTTTCAAGCCTTGGTTTCACTTTATATTTTAAAGGCTTTCTTCTCAGATTTCACTATGTTCTTAAGATCCAAGTTTACTGGTACATCATCCTCACTGCTAACTCTACCGAGGGAAGAAAATGGTTCTCTCTTCACTATCTCTAGAGAAGTCATCTTGCATGTGGTTCAGTCACATGACTAACCCCGAGCCAATCATCATAGCGAGAGGATACAATGGTCAAATTTCCCATCCATAATCTCACAGTCAGACCCTCAAGAACAAAATGAAGTCATCATGAGGAAGAGGTGACCTCCCCCTAAAAAAATCAGGGTGCTGGTCACACAGAGAAAGTAGGTAATTTCCAGTTAATCAAAAACATCAGCTTTCCACTAGTCTTGCCTTTTATGCCTCAACAAAGCTATACTAGTTCCCCACATCTTTAAAGTAGGTGAGAACTCCCTCACATCCCCCAAGCTAGAAAGTGCTGCATGAATGTCCTATAAGGAGTCCTCTTCCATCATGCCTCCGAAGCAGTCACACAGGAGTCTGGGATTCCAAGCAGCAAATGGTGTGCTATGGCCTTTTGGTCAGTTACCTAGACCAGTGGTTGGCAAACTCATTAGTCAACAGAGCCAAATACCAATAGTACAACGATTGAAATTTCTTTTGAGAGCCAAAATTGCATGGGCCACGAAGTTTTAATCGCACTGTACTTGCATGCCCACCCACACATGGTGTTTTGTGGAAGAGCCACACTCAAGGGGTCAAAGAGCCGCATGTGGCTCGCAAGCTGTAGTTTAGTGATCACTGACCTAGACAGGTACAAATCCAATTTCTCATCACTAACACCAAGCCCATCTCAAAATTTGGAAGTACAAAGGCAACTGAGCTATTAAAAGCATTGTTGACTATGAGCTTAATTTTAATTTACTCATATCAAAACTGCAAGAATGGAGTTACCTGGCTCCAAAGTCAGACTGCACTTGGGTTGAGCAGAGATGTCCTGCATTGTTTGAAGCCTGCATGCTCTCTGGGTTTGGTATGTAAGGTATCAGAGTTCTGATGCTCTTTAAGAATGGAGTCAGAGCCCTGGCCGGTGTGGCTTCAGTTGGTTGGGTGTCATTCAATGCACCAAAAGGTTGTGGTTAGATTCCCAGTCATGGCACATCCCCAGGGGCATGCAGGAGGCAGCTCATTGCTGTTCCACTCTAGCATTGATGTTTCTCTCTCTCTTTTTTCTTTCTCTAAAAAAAATTTTAAAAAATCAATAAAAATACTTTTAATAAAAGAATGAAGGACATCCTTTTATTAAAAACTGTATTTGTAGCCGAAACTGATGCTCAGTAGTTAGAGCGTCGGCCTGTGGACTGAAAGGTCCCAGGTTCAATTCCATGCATAGGCACGTTTTCTCTGTGACCGTGAGAAGTGTATCCATTGTCACTTCCAATCTATTAAAAACGCTCTCCTGAGGGTCTTTCTCAACAAACTAAAGGGCCTTTTCTCTGTCCTCATTTTCCTGGACCCTTTCAATACCCTATTTTTTAAAGAGATATTTTCATTCTGGTTTTAGTTTATGCCAAGACTCAAATCCCGGTTTCCATCTGCATTTAGAGTAACTTCTCCTTATGTGCTTCCCCCTTTTCTCCAAATGTGGATAAGCTAATAAGAGCTAATATTTTCCCAACACGTAGTCTTTTATTTAATAGCACCTTGGAGAGCATTCAAGTAATAAGTGGAATCTAAGATTTAAATGAGAGGATCAAGATGTGTAATACATAGCGCTGCTCTGATGAACCAGTTAGCCACTTGAGGGTACAACAAGGCTTATCCACCCCATTCCTTACAGTCGAGCTCACGGGGTCTGGGAATCATGGCGAGCTCCTTCCCCATCTAGACAGTGAGCGGCTCCAAAGGGAAAAGCTGCTCCTGGTGTTGGTATTCACAGCACCTAGGCAGCGTCTGGCCCAGAGGAGATAATAAAACGCTTTATAAAAATAGCAAGGAGTCCAAATGTCTAGGGCATATGGTATATGGAGGAGAAAAATAAAAGGACTAAAAATGTATGTGAGGGAATATTGCGCGGCATGCTCAGAATGGCAGATTTATTCTGTATGTAAGGGAGAGTTTTGAGGGCGCTCGCACAGAACAAAATGTGGACACCTGTTCCATGGACCATTGGACAGGGCAAAGCAGTCTTTGGAGGGGACCAAACTGATCCTGTGGTGATTAGCTAGTTATTAATAACAGGAAGGGAGCAGAGGGGGCAGCCATTATAGGCATGTCATTTGGGCAGCTTCACCAGGAAGCTGCAACATGGCACTCCCCAGAGAACCACCGGCCTCTCCCCTATAAAACAGGGGGGAGGAACCCAACAAAAGGAGGATAGATGCCTGCCCAGGAAACCAGAGGACCAGGGCAGGTACTTGCCTGTCAATCAAACCCCTGGGACAGAGATGGTTGACAAGTGCATGGAAATTCCTTTAAACAAAGGAATCCTCTCTCTGGTTGCTCCCCACTCTTGTGCTCCACTCTCAGCTTGTGGGGTTCCTTTGCTCCTGTTCCTACTTCCTTGTATTCACCCATAGGGCCCTCTCAGCCATGTATAGCGCCAGAGTAACTCAGCTTGTTGGCACCAACAGACGTTTCTTTCTTCTATACATGTAAACATTCCCTTCCCTTTCTCACAAAAACCCTTGTCCTCGCCTTAGAACTGGAACACCCTTGGGTGTCTGCCTGAATCTGTGCTTCCACAATTGCAATTCTTTTTAATCCCAAATAAAAGCTGTGGGATAAATGCTGCCCCTCGTCTCACCTTTTTATCTTTGGGTTAATAACAATGCAAATTATTTAATACTTTGTAAAGCCCTTAGAACTGTATCTGTCACATCCTAATTCCGCTGCAATCATTAGTTATCGTCATCATCCGCCTCTTTATCAGAGCCATGTGTATTGTTCCTTTAATAAGAATTCCTCCTTCATGCTGCCCTGATTTATGTTCATATTCAAATGACCAAAACATGGAGTTTGCCTTTAGTATTTTCAAGGTGTTTTCTTTGCAAAAATAGATTGCAAGAAAATTGCTCCTGCTTTTTAGTCTCCTGCTCTAAAATAAGTCTATTTCCTAAATCGACCCCCTGCTTTCATCCCCAGAACTTATTCCAAGTGGGGAGGGGGAAAAACAAAAACGCTTAGCACCTATCTATCACCAGACATGAAACATTTCAGCTTGAAAGGGCTCCAGCATCTGTATCCACACCAGGGACCACAGGCCTGAGTGGCCGTGGGAGCTACACATGAGAAGGAAGGGATGAGTCTGAGCATGTTTGTCCTGTGATCTCTGCAGAAGCGAAGAGCGGATCACAGAGGAGACCGGCTCAGGGAATGGGATAAGTGAGCCGGCAGCTCTGTGCAGACGGCAAAATATTAATCAGGCTTTGGAACCATTTTCTTCTAGTTTGTATTCTTTGGGAATAGCTTCCTTAGTAGCAGCTAAATGGGGTTCCCCAAGGCCTGCCAAATATCCCATTTAAATTAGCATATATTTGCATAAGTTGACATACAGGAAAATGCAGTCTGACTCCCAAAAGGTGTCCTTCCACACTGTCAGGTAGGTCGCATTTGAATGATGCCTGTGACCTGCTTCCTGTGACTGAGGGCATCCCCGTGCTGCCCCAGGCAATTCATTCCTCCTTTGCGGGCCTCAGTTTCCTCATTTAAAAATAATCAGCAAAGCAATTAGCCAAAAAACACATATGCAATAAGCCAGAGACACAGATAACAGTGTGGTGGTGGCAAGAGGCCTGGGGAGTGGGGGCTGAGTGGTGGTGGAACAAAAGGGGGGAAATGGGAACATCTAGAATGGTGTCAACCATAAAAATAATGTTAAAAAATGAATGGGGGAATCTCAGAAAATGTCTAAAATTCCTTCTGTTTCTAAAATTCCATTAATCACATCTTTCTAGTAAGCAGGCTGTAGGTCTAAGTTAAAAATTGGTAAGTTATAGCCTAGAGGCCAAATCTTCCACCACCTCTTTTTGTAAAGAACGTTTTGTAAATAACATTAGTCACATCCATTGTGTCTGCCTGCTTGTCCCCCCAGTGACAGAGTCCAATGGTGTGACAGAGGCCAATCGTGGGAAAATAAAAAGCATTTGCTACATGGCATTTTATAAGAGAGAATGCTGCCCCTGACCTCGGTGAACGTATCAAAAACTTCCTATTTTCTCTCATGGAGCTCTTGTGCTGACAGCATCTCCAAATGCGAGTAAACTGTGAGCCTGTGAATACAATTTACGGCTGAGGCCATGTTCACAATTACTCCTAAACAGTACACCTCGGAGCAAACTAACAGCAGATTTATGGCAAAGCGTTCCAGTGTTCAGTCCATCGGAAAGTGCCGTGTGAAATGTTCTTGTCACACCCAAACCCGTTCTCAGGACATGTGCGGGATTCGCCTAAACTGAACACCAAACTGCCCTGTCTTCTAGATCATGCTATTGCCCAACCCATTTGAAATCAGGCACAGCATGCTTAGCTGTCCCCAGTAGCGATGTAATGACTTAATGAACAGCTGAAGGTGGTGGTTGTATGGGCCTCGTAGTGAACCTTATTTTAATTATACAAAAAGCAGAAAGGCTCAGTCCTGCAATTCATTCTTCCTTTGCGGGCCTTAGTGTCCTCGTTTAAAAATGAGTAGAAGCTGAAACCAGTTTTGCTCAGTGGATAGAGCGTTGGCCTGTGGACTGAAGGGTCCCAGGTTTGATTTCGATCAAGGGCATGTACCTTGGTTGTGGGCACATCCCCAGTGGGGGGGGTGCAGAAGGCAGCTGATCAATGATTCTCTCTCATCGATGTTTCTAGCTCTCTATCCCTCTCCTTCTCTGTAAAAAAAATCAATAAAATATATTTTTAAAAAATAAAAATTAAATTAAAAATGTGTAGGAAACAACTTAAGGAAGCTTAGCAAAATATATAAAACAGTTAGAGGCTGGTTCATATCTGACATGCTCCTCGACTTTGTGTCTGCTCTGAGACCACTGAGTAGAAAACGAAAGCAGCTGTTCCAATTTTCTCCTGCATCTTCACAACGGGGCATTGCTGAATACGTGAAGGGTGCCTCTGGCTCTTCACAGACTAGCCCGCACCAGACCTGAGCCACACAGGTGCTGTCCCTTTAATCCCCACGCTCTGTGTTCATCAAGCAACAATGCTGCTCTTTTCCATCCATTAAACTGTATCGCCAAGTTTGCCAAACAACCTTGAACTGAGTGTCCGTTTGGAGCCACACAGACCTGTACTGGATTCCCAACATTGTGGTTTGGGGGAGGTGATCAAACCTCACCCCGCATCCAATTAAGAACTGGTACTTGCTACATCCCAGAATTGTTTGAGAATTCTATTGTCTACATGTACATCGCTGGGCTACAGCACACCTCTCCAACATCATTGGTCAACTTGCTTCCCACAGCAGAGTCACGAGACCCTCTTCCTCCAAAAACTGGGTCCCCAAAACCGTAGCATTCTACCAGTCATTCACACCTTGGAGTTCAGTCGCTTGTATTTCTCAAGTGCTTAGCCAGAACCTGTCAATCAAATCCTACTTGTGTTGAAATGTGTTTCTATCAGGTTAAATGTACAAGACGTCGTGAGTCCCTTTCCTACAGTGGAGAGAAGACTCCTCCTTGAAGATGCTGTATTGCAGGTGCCACTGGTGAGATCCCACAGATATACCGTGTACTGTTATGAGGCCACAGTCCATGGGTCCTGGGGATCTCTTACTTTATCATTCCTGACAATAACCTAAGTAGTGGTTAATTATTTTCTACTTTCCCAAATACATCAAGCGTTAAGTCCACAGAATACATTAACCACAGTCAATAAGCAGAGAGGAAGGAGCTGCACATTGGGACAAGAAGGCAAATCTGACGATACGCATTTAATCATGTGTGTTATTGTAAAGGTCAGCATTACAGTTTAATTCTTAATTTTATTTATTAGATGCATTTTTTCCTGAGAGAATTATTCATCTCAGCTTTTAAAACATGTTCAAATCCCCATAAATATATCTCTTGGAAGGACTTCCCCTCCCATCTCTTGGTCTGACTTCAGGCCTCTTAATGAAACTGCCGTTCGATACCATTACATTCTGTTTTCTCTTAATCATCTCTAACTCCCTCCA